ACGAAATAAGATCTAAATATATAAGGTAAAAAATTTATAGTATTTCCAAGGCCTATTAAGAATATAACCATGCATAAAAAGAACAATCTACAAAAATCAAGATTTCACCTTTGAGAGATACGAATCTTATAAGAGGTCTTTAAAGCCAATTCATTAGAAAGGGGAAGGAAAGGGATCTGCGCATTTGGCTAAAAGCATAGGCCGTAACATTTTCGCACGAAGTGACACATGCAACTTAGATGAATAACAGAGAAAAACACGAAATTTGATATACAATCCAGTAAAATCCAATTATCAAAGTTATCAAAGGCAGAGTATTAAGATATTTTCTGAGCGAGGAAATACATTTGCATTTTGAATTAAAACTTAGCTTTCCTAGAGAAAGAGTATTTGCAAAGCAGCTATCTCCCACTTCAAAGATGGAATTGTACATTTTCAACAAGTTCTTTCATGGGGGCGGAACAAAGCCAAGAGCCTAGTTATTACTACCTCTTCTCTACCTAAAAAGAGAAAAACTGCCAACCAAGCGAAAGATCACTGTTTTTTTTATCAAACTTTTCTGGCCAAACCTTCGGGGTTTGCAAAAGGCCCGTTCCATATCCTCACACCTCGATAGGATTCTCCTTCTCCTCCCCCCTCTTAAGGGGTGAAATGGGTAATGTCACCTCGGCATCCTCATATCCCGTGTTTCCAACCAGCATCCTCATCTCATTTTCAAGCCCATACCTGAAACCTTCGGAACTTTTGTCTTTCTTATTACTCAAGACATCCCAGAAAAATTCAGTCATGACAGACTCATAATTCGGCATCTTCGCATACCCAGGGAAGTAGTTAATGTCAATGACAAGGTACCTATTACCAACCTTGTTGTCCCTAATCACGTCGAAATTGAAAAGGTGAAGCTTTGTTTCTCTTCTAAGCCCTCTGGCTATTTCAGTGAGGAAACTCAATGGTGGCAACTCTGCATCCTCCAAGTTCATCATCTTGCAATACTTGTCATGGTTTTTCTCATCGGTGCGACAGTTAGAGACCTGGGAAAATGAGAAGTAGCCCTCAAGACACCCTAAATTGTCTTCATTGACGTCAGGTAAGGACTTCCTCTTGACACATTTCACATAATCCCCAACGACGTAGACCTTGAAGATGACGGCCCCATGATTGACGAACTCCTGAAGAACAATGGGGGGCTTGAGCTTGCAAAGCCCGTCCTGGTTGAAGACGAGGAGCATCTTGTGTGATTTGGCGCTTCCGTCAGCCACTAGGGGTTTGGCAATCACTGGGAACTTGAGACCTTCGTTCTCCATCTTCAGAGCAGAAACCATTTGGGCATCGTAGATCACGGTCTGCTTGGGAATGCCCAGGGACGCCACCTGGCAGTCGATCTCAACCTGCGAGACGATCTGAAGCATGGAGATACGGTTGTGCAGGCGCTGGATGGCCTCCGGGGAGTCGATGATGAGGGCATTAGGGTTCCGGGAAGCGAACTCCTCCAGCTGGCGCTTCCAATCCTCGCCGTAAAGCTTGTGGAGAACGCAATCGAAGGGCCCCTGATCCGCCAGCGGCTTCTCGGTGTCGATCTGGATGAGATCAATCCCCTTCTCCCTCGCAAGATTCACCAGAGAAGTCTGAATGAAACTGGCCTGCTTCTTCGGCGCCAAGGCGTAACCCACTCCGAACCTCCCCGTTCGCTCCGCCATTCACACCAATTCAAAATCCCTTCTTTCTGGGCAAACAAGAATCACCCAAAACCAACCAATCCCCCAAAAAAACTCAAAATCCGCCAAGAATTTGCAGCGAAAAAACCCGAACCCACATTACAAGAATCCAAAAAAAAAAGAAATTCACTAAAGAACTAGGGTTTATAAATCTGGGATTACAATCAAATGGGGGAATACGTTTCTCTGGTATTAGGTGTCAGTGCGGGAAGGCGTGTATGGGTTCGTCAAGAATACGCCAGAGAGAGTGTATACGTAGAAATGGAATGGATCCGTGCGTATTTATAATAGTAATAATACGCATACAGATATATGTATACGGAGTATATGCTCTGTATGGGGGCAAATTGGGTTGGAGATGGAGGTCGTCGTCGGGTTAGGGTTCGATGACAGCGGGTCGAGAATTGGGATCCTACGTGGCACCCCCACCATCCGGATTCCGAGGGAAAAAAAGCCGTGACAGCTCTGATGGACAAGAAAATGAGACAAATGGTTGCATTGAATGTACACAACATGATCTCTATGCTTAAAATGTTCCGGACAAAATTTGAAGCCAAATAGGACACTAATCCAAATTTCAAGAAAAATGCTCGAGTCAAAAACAAAGAAAAAAATACCACATAATGTACAAATTTATCATTTTTGAAGCTACTAAAAGAGTACAATGGCCATGGCAAAACTAGGCCGGTCAACAAAGTAGTGTCGTATAGGAGGGAAGCTCGAGTTTGCCTCTTGGTGTCGACGATAAAGAATTATTATGTTATGCATAGAATTTTTGAAAAATGCTAGGGTGCTACCATGGGTGCACCCATGCTCCACACAGACAAACACAGACGATAATTGTCTGTGTCACACAGACAATTATCGTCTATGTTTGTCTGTGTGAAGCATGAGTTCACCCATAGTAGCACCCATGTGGTGGCATGCACCCTAGCATGGTCCGGAACTTTTGTACTCCAGTATGTACTAAAGACAAGTTTTACTTTCTCTTAATCAAATTGAGATCATAGTTTAACGTACCATCTTCCAGTATATTGTCTATGTCAATATTGAGGGAAACTAAAGATTGGTGTTCAACTTTTTTTATTACTAAAATAAAAAAATATGCTTAATTATTATTTTAAAAAAAATTTAATATTTACAAATGCCAAATGAATAAATTTTTACAACTAATATATTCATGACTTTAATATTTCTCAAATTTCTACATCTCTTTGCCGGTCTCCTCCGCCAAACAACCATTTTCTCTCTCCCAAGCCAATTTCAAACTCAAAAAAGATATGCTATCCCCTAATTTGAGGACCATGTTTTTAAACTCCCTTTTGCCTTCTTTTTTTTTCCTCTTTTGATTTTGAAAATAAAAAATGAAAGAAGACTGACTCTTCCCTTTCTAACTTTAGGGTACTCCCTTACGTCACATATGACCTTTTTCTAGCTCCAAAAAATTTTTTTGAACCAAACCTCAAAAGGTCCATCAGAACATGTCAGGCAATTTATCGAGAATAGACAAATGAATTACGATCTTTGTTTGATACATGTAAATAGGAAGTCTATTTCGCCCTTAATAAAAGAATAATATGTTTAACATGGTTGTCTTTCATTGTTTCTTGTTCAGAATCGATTTCGGGTATCTTTGTTTGACTTGGGAGCCAAGCTACGGTCACTTTAATTTCCATCACCTTGCCTTTTTGTTTCATTTTTCAGACTGTCTTTCTGCATTTGAGGAGACTTTTGACTCTTTTCATTGACTTGACTCCAATTTCAATTGCGCGTTGATGGATTTTTAATGCCAAGTCCCACTTTTCGATTCCAATGTGAGGTAAAAAAAATCTATGTTAACTTGGGGTTGAAATTGTCCGTGTAGTTTGACTTGATATGTTTATTACAGTACTTCTTTCGTCTTAAAATTACGTTCCCAATTTTTTAGAGTAAAAATTGAAAAATTTTGGCCATAAAATTAGGAAAAATTTATGCTCCGTACATATATCAAAATTTGAAATATCATTTTTTGTTGCTCTATAGAAAAAATCTATAAAACGAAAACTTGCCCGAGTATATTATGTTATCAAATGCTAAATAAAAACACATAAATAATTTTCAAAAAAAACAAATAAGAACACATAAATAAATACCGAGTCATGTTCCTAAAATAATACTCCGCGTAACTGAGAATTGTATTATATTATCAAATGTCAATAAAATAATACTCGTATAAATAAATAAAAGTTATCATCATCCTGAAATAGTAACTCAAGATTTTGTCAAGTGTCAATATAAATGTTAATTAAAACATTTCCAAACTCCTAGTCCACATCCATATGATAGTACACAATGAACTTCCCTATCCGATTTTTCTAGCCTTTGTGTTCCTCTTACCTGAACTTGACGGGGTACGGTTTTCTAGCTTCCGCTTGGTCCCGTGGGGGCCGCCACCAGCAGCGGCAGAGGCAGCATTACTAAGTTCTCTTGCCTTTCTGGCAGCAACCGCCGGCCTCTTGGTTTGTCTCTTCTTCCCATCCCGCGACTTTGGTTTGAACTTTGGCTGGTCCCCAGCGGTTGTAGGACGGAACCTCTTCTGGCCGCTAGTGGGCTTATTTGCCCTCATACCCTGGTAGGATAGAGAAGAAGAAGAAGCCTTTTCAGGTCGCTGGCCTCCTGGAGGCCACTTTGTTGGAGCAGGGTTACTATCGTCATTTGGATTCTTTCTCTTTGACGGGGTTACATTTTCCTTGGCATGAGAGAGTCTCAGCTCCCGATCCCGTAACTTCAGATGCTTCTTGACAACAAGATTTGCAGCTTCCTGTTGTTGTAAGCACATCAAAGTATGCTGTGCTTCAGAACTGTGAAATATAAATGCTGCTTGTTTGTTTGCTAATAAATAATGGCCTTGTTTGGGAACAACTTTTGCAAATACTGTAGCATTTTGGATAATTTTTTCAATAATACTCCGTAATAAAGATAAACTTTGATAATGCTAAAGCTAAACGCTGCTGCAATTAAATAGTCTTTTCCAAACGCAAAAGTTGTGGCAAAACGGGCACTCTATATGATCGGTGTCTACATTGTATGTCATGGTTGTTAAATAATGGAATTACAGTTAAGAACAGACTTTGAATGCATAAGAAGAAGAAGAAGAAGAAGAAGAAAAACATACCCTTGTTTTAAATAACACATAAGCAAAACCTTTTCCCACATGTGTATTGGGGTCTCTGATAACACGAACAGCTTCCACAATTGTATCCTGAGTTTGAGTTTTAATACCACAGAGCAACTGATATAATTCTTCATCCTTAAAAAATATCAAAATGAAAACAATTTTCAGAATCATTTTAGCTGCAGAAAAATAACACCAAAACAAGGTTGCGCTGCCATAGTTCTCCCCCTCACAAGGTAGGAAATGAAGGAGCACCTGTTGATTTTGGTAAGATACGATTCTTATACTATTATGAATACTTTTATTGAAAACTAGAGTAAACATATTGCCCAAGTCTTGTCAGATGTACTAGTTTTCACCAAACACGTGCTGAAAAATCAGCAAGCAGCCGTTATTAAAAAACATAAAACAATGCACAAGTTATATTTCTTGAAGGAATGGTATAAATTAAGAAAATAGACACGCCTCAACCTTCATTTTTGTGTACTATTTATTTTAATTACGTAAAAATTGTTTAAATATTTCAGCAGATTTAGCCAATTAATTTCAACAAATTCGGTCATGAAAGACCTTACATATGGCCTCTTAAATTGTTTGGAGCACGTTTTTAAAAAAATAACATCAAAATCAATGAAAAATATTTCCTTTCATTGAAATGAGAGTCCTCTATCGAGATGCAAAAAAAATCAAGGAACAAGTCTTCATTTTTTAGGCATAGAGAGTATTATCGTATATAGTCTCCCTACTTCCAAGCAAGGGTATGGTCCGTGTAACTCACCCTCCTCAAACCCTACTCTTGTTGGATTTTACTGGATTTGTTGTTGTAGGGTGTATAATTCTACAAACATCCACATGCTAGAGAAACTTGCCTTAACATCAAAAGGGAGGTTGCCCACAAACAGTGTCCTTTTATTATCATACAAGGGTGCATTGTCTCCCTTTATCTTCTTCCTAGGAGGGCATGCCCTGTCCACCCGGATGTGATTTCCTTCTACCTACACCAACAATTCGTTAGTTACCTCTATTAATAAAAATGAAATGGAATATGCGTCCAATAAAATAATATGCATATCAGCAAACTATTTCAGAAATCAGCTAACCACTGTCATGTTATGTGCCAATGAAGCTTGGGCAGAGTCCTCACTTTTAAATACGATGTAAGCATGTACACTGCAATATTAGACAAAATTGGTAAGAGTCCATTTGGATCATGGAGTATACTAGAAAAAGAAATAAGGAAAATATGGAGAAAAATCAAAGATAAAGAAAATGTTTAGAAAAACAAAACATAACCTACAGATCAATAAGCTTGTTTTTTTAAAGGTCAGTTCTGCAATTCAGTTTTGCAGATGGCAAAAACAAACAACCGGGCATCTTCAAAGGCTAGGTGTCATGAAATGGTGAATATGAAGGAATTATGACAAATGGTGAATTGCATTTCTTGGAGAGGTGAGAAAGACTGGCATGGGAAACAGAAAGGTACATGATATATCAACAAAAAATGGAGGGTTACATCCAGACACATTAGCAGATCACGAAGACTTCACAGTTTCCCTTTTTTGGTTAACAACAAAAACAATGAGAGGTTGTTTCCAAGAGACGCGGCTGAGAGATAGAAGTATGAACAAAGAAATCAATGAAGCACAGGTGAAGTACGAATAGGACAATAGAAGCATACAAACCGACACTAAAAACTAGGCAAAAAGCACGCAAACGCATGCTACAGACTAAGGCAAAATACATGAACATAAACTAAAAACTAAGCCCAACAGGTCTAACCAACTAATCTAATTGTAGATCTCCAGAAGTTACTATCTAACTTGATACCATTGTTGAGATCTAAAAATCGTAGGTCATGTCTAAATATCTAATCACCTCCTTCCAACTCTTTCTAATTCCACCTCTACCCCTCACCACACCCTCTTCCGCAAGCCTCTCGCATGTCCATACATGGGCCTTTGCACTCCTCTTAATGTGCTCAAACCACCTCAGCCTAAGAGTGCCAAATGGACTACAGAACTTTGAAATGGCCAATGGGTACCAACAGGAAAAGTCTAAGCGACAAGTGTGCCAACTGGAATCTCCCTTAAGTTATCTACTAGATAAACACTAAAAAATTTAAATGCACGTACAAAAAAGTAAACAAATAGTCATTATTCAGTTTCAGATCTGAAAAGGTAAAGCTAAACATTCTCTCTGAACCGTGCTCTAAGAAAAACTTCAGAGGAAAAAAATGCAGTAGACTATAGAATTATGAGCCACCATCATACCAATCGGCATTCTCATTGAAATTCTTCATGAGTACAGCAGCCTTCCTTGGAGCTTTGGTCTAAAATATAGGGCAAAACTGTTAAAATAGAAAATACGAAACTAAGAATGAAACAATTCCATGGAACTTACATCAGCAATCGGAACAGATCGGATTCTAAGGCTCTCAATCTCTCCATACTTTGAGAATTCCTTCAATAATGTCTTCTTCTTAGTCTTCAGAGGTACATTCCCAACAAAGATAGTCCTCAATAGCTTGTTCTCATCATCAAATCCCTCCTTCGACACCATCACATCCTCTGGGTTATCCATTTTCTTCCTCTTCTCCCCAACCTTCCCACTTCCTGATTCCGGCTTTGCAACCTCCTGCAATCCATATCGTTTTACTTCATACTCCGCCTCAATATCGTCCCTCTTTCTCTTCTTATTTTCCTTGCCAATGTCTTCATGCTTCCCAGGTTCAAAGTTCTTTAATTTCTTCCGTTCTCTGTTTCCATCTTGCTCTCCAACTTCATTATCAAGTTCTGATACAACACTCTCCTCTCTCTTCTTCTTCTTCTTCTCCTTCCTCTTCTTTGACTCTGAATCCTTAACTTCATAAGCATCGGATGCTAACGCTAGCTCGGTTTGCGGTGGTTCTTGAGAAACGCTAGCGGGTTTTCTTCGAAACGGATTGTCATCGGAAAATAATGTTGCAGCGGCGGCATCTTCCGATATTTCGCCGAACAGGGTTTTAAAAATGCTGCAGGAATTAGGGTTTGAACCGGAATTAGGGGAAACTTCTTGATTATCTTCGTCGCGAGCCTTTCTCGATTTCTTGCCCATTGCCGAGAGAGAGAGAGAAAGGATTTTTGGTTCAGGATCTCTGGGAATCTAAGCACGGCAACGACGGAAAGGGATCGAAAGAAACCCTAACACGCGCTGTGCACCCGACCCGCAATGTACTGTTTTTAGGTATCCTAATTTTAAATCCAATTTTGGTTTTTAAAAATATCCACACTACTTGCACCATTATATGGGTGTCAAAATTGGAATGATTCAAATGAAGCCTTAAGAGGTATGGTTCCCTTTTCTTCACATTTGTTTTTTAATTTTTTATAATTATTTTTTAACATTAAATTTAGTAAGCTAAAAGTGTAAATATTACTCCATCCGTCCCTCTAAGATCTTTTCATTTTGACTTTATGTGGTTTTTAAGGAGAGTTGAAAAAAAGGTAAAAGTTTACCATAATATCTTTAATGAAAATGAGTGGAGTGTATTAAATAAGGTGGGTGATGTGTAATAAATAAAGTAGGTGGGGGTACTTGTGGTATTTTGATTGTTAAAAGATGAAATGAGGAGATCTATTGTGGACAAAGAAAAAAGGATATTGGGAAGATCTATGGGGGACGGAAGGAGTACTAAATAGTACAAACTTTAAAAAAAACTAAAAATTAAAAAAGGAAATTAAAAACTCTAGAATTGAAGAAAAAAAGAAACGGAAAAATCATGAGGAATTCGTTCATCCCGTTGGGATGGGGGCATGTTCCCCTTCGTCCCACTAATAACACGCAGGCTCCTTGTAGTGTATTCTCGCTTCATACCACAAACCCTTTGCAAAGTGAAACGTTTTATGACATAATTATCATTTTCACAATAAATTTAATTGTTCTAATTTGAATTGAAAATAATTACTTTGACACGTATTTCAATATCATATAATGACACAAATTGTTTCAAAATCTTACAATAATTCGTTTGATTCTAAAGTAATCTTAATTCCGACAAACCCTCGCCCTAAGTTCATTCCCTAACTATCTTAGCTCATTGCCAAATCAGATGACAATCCGCTATCAAAGCTTTGACTGTCGCTCGATTTTGGATGAGTGTGGGATAAGGACAAGGCATGAGATGAAGTTTAGAGAATAAAACAATTATGAAATACGGAGTAGCATATAAGGTGCCCAAAATAATTTATCTTAAAAAAACCAATTTATTTATAAGTTTACTTGCTTATATTCATTTTCATATCTATGCATTTCATAATATAAATTTTTAGATAATAAAGGAGTTAGATTTGAATCTTTGTTTTTTGTTTAATGAAATTTACTCTAATATTGTCCTTAATTCCCTAAACCCTAATTTCATTAGAGCATTCATTACTTTGTAATTTGTATTCCTTCAACAAAAAATTTTTAAATTTGTATATTGATGATTGATCGATTCATTGGAAAACATTTCAGCGGTTGCTGATCCGACTTAAGCTTTGCTTTCATGTCCAACGGCAGAACAAAACCATCTTCTTCTTCCCAGAGAAAACAGCAAGCCCGGAACTGGATTGCTAAGCCCTTATTACATGATCCGACGCGGAATCCACAACCCGAAGGCGATTCAGGAGCTTCCTCCTCAGCAGCATCTCAGTGTAATCCCAACCTTTCAGCAGAAGTTCGGCCGGAAGACCCATCTGACCAGAAGTTTAGCAGAAACAGTAGGCGGAAGTCCCGGAACAGGCATCGCCGGGATGTGAATGCACAGCCGGATTCTTTGTCTGGATCTGATAATCGGGTAGATTCTAGAAGCGACGGTGGAGGTGGTGGAATTGATTGTGCGGAAGAGTGTTCGGAGAGAAATTCCAAGGAAAATGATGGTGGAAACGGACTGGGAACGGAGAAGGGTGATGATGATGATGATGATGATGATGATGAAATAGGGAGAAGATTTGAAGAGTTGCGATTGGGTGTTGAAGAGCCGGTGTTGTCCGAAGAACAGCTCGGGATCAATTATCAGGCCAGAGAAGACGAGGTACAAATACTAATAAGTTCAATCATTAGCTTCAATGGGATAATGTTGATGTAAACAAACCACCACAAGTAAATCCTGGTGTTATTTACTTGTTTATTTCATCTTTTCATGGCAGAGGCATGTGAATATGTGATCTTTCAGTACAGATAGTCTCATCTCTAGATATAGCAGTTAAAAAGAAGATAAAAAAGAAGCTTTTTATTTTTGCAGATTAGAACCATGAAGTAATAAATAGGAGAGTTGACTCTACACTTTTTTCATTTTGAAGATCTAATAAGATATTTCAATCGGTTGGGAGACAATTGAATCGATGAAATAGTGGTTTATTATGTTGATTTTCAGTTGGCTACTTGGCATTGTATCTTCTTTAGAAGGGTGATGCTCGGTTTACACCAAGTCTCAAAATTGTCCTTCATAGACAAGATTACGGTGAATGGTAAATTTGAAGCTTGTGTACACCTAGCGTTTTTGTCTTTAGTGTGTATGGTGGATTGGTGGTAAGTGAAGTTTGGAATGATATAGGGTAGTGAATGAGGCAATCACCAAAATGATCTGAGTATCTATGTTGCATAGGGAGTGGCTGAATTATCCCTCATCATATTTGTCAGGACTAATACAGAACAGGCTACTTACTAAGCAGATCTTGGTATGTTATGGTTGGATATTAAACTCGAGATCCTTTTTTAGAACAAGTTTATGGGGACACATAGGATAATCAAAATGTAACCTTTCTTTGCATGAGATAAATCCTGATTTACTTCTTCAAAAAAAAGGAAGAAGTGGTGTGTGCAGTCTTTGTATGTTCGCAATCCATTCAATTACTATCCGATGTTAGTTTATGTGCACGTTTGTGACATCACTCCATTGTTATTTCCAGTTACTAGCACTAGACTCCATTTATGGTGACAACATTTTTCATCTTGACAGACATAATGGCCTACGAAGTTTTCAGGTATTGAAGCAATTCAAGCCCCCCCCTCCTCCTCCTCCTTTAGGGTCGGTTTGAAACATGAAACATGGAAAATGATATGGAATGAAAATAAATGCTCTTTTCAATTCTAGTATATACATGCTTTGAAATTTAAACATACGTAAAAAAGTATTAAAAATATTAATCACATTTCATTATCATTTGCATTGTCTAAGGTAAACCCAACACAAAAAAAAACTTTCCTAGCAATTTTCCCCTTTCCTAGTATTTTATGTGATCTAAACATATGCTAAAAGCCAAGTTTCCAAACATTTTTAATTGTTTCCAGATCCATATACACATAGATGTTCCCAAGGAGCTTACAGTTTCTGTAAATATAAAAACATCTGCAATGTCGACCCGGAATGATGATTTGCCTGAGTTTCTGTACTCCTTTAAAATCGCGCATCTCCCACCAATAACACTATCATGCTTATTACCAAAATCATATCCGTCTCATCTTCCTCCTCATTTCACCATGTCTGTCCAATGGCTGAAGACCTCAGAAATTTCCCAGCTCTGTCACGTTCTTGATTCAATCTGGCACGAACAATCAGGGCAGGAGGTAATATACCAGTGGGTGGAATGGTTGCAAAGTTCTTCCCTTTCACACCTACAATTTGACCAAGAAATTAAATTGAGCCCTTATGAAGAAGAAAGGCGTGTTGGAGATAGACGTGCCATATCTGGAAGTGTCTCTCTTGATTTTGATATTCCTTTCTTGAAAAGCTATGATGATGAACAACGCTATGTAAACTTCAGTAAAAATATCCAAGAGTGTTGCATCTGTATTGGTGAATCTCCAGGTAAATAAAAAAGATCATTTATTCTTTAGATTAGCACTTCATTTGGCATCAATTTTAGCATTTGAAAATGCTATCCAACACTTGCTTTTAGTAGAGCCGGAAAATCGGTCGGGTACTTCAGGTTTGGGTTACTTCGGGTTCTAATTTGGGCCAAGAACTCCATGTTCATGACCAAGTATCATCGGGTTCTTGTCGACCCAACGGGTTATGAGCTTTCTTTTTTAGTATATATAAATTCATACTAGCACTTGCATTTTGCATTGAAAAAAATAAAATATCGATATGTGTGTGTGTGTGTCTATGTGCGCGCGAGTTTGTGTGTGTGGGGCGCGCTGGTGTGGGTGCGTTTGTGTACTATTATAAGATTTTATTTTGAAATTTAAGTAATTTTTAGATATATACAACAATTATAAATAATACGGAGTACTCTATAAAAATTTTAGTATGTGCAATTTTTATAAACAAAATTAAGATAACGATACAATATCATAAATACTCGTTTGTAAAGATGAGTTTCAACAAGTAAATAAAAAAGATCATTTATACAGCAACAACCTAATTTGATCGCACGAGAGGGTGTGTATACGCAGACCCTGCCCCTACTCGAAAGTAGAGAGGTTGTTTCCAAGTGACATTTATACTATGTAATTATAAAAGAATATTCTTAGAACACAATAAAGAAAATATGATATTTGACCAATACGACCTCCAATTAGGCCTTAGGGCAGGTAAAAATGGGACATAGAGAGTATTTTGTCTTACCGAGTTGTAATTTTCTTCTCTTGTGGTGAGATTATATACTCTAAATATGGTAATGATTACTATTTTGTTAACATTATTATATTTTTTTAATCAGGGAGTGAATTCGTCAGACTACCGTGCCAACACTTTTTCTGCTTCAAGTGCATGAGAACTTTTGCAAACATGCATGTAAAGGAAGGTACCTTATCTAAGCTTCAGTGTCCAAGTAGTGCAAAATGTGGAGGCATGATACCCCCAGGTTTGCTGAAACGGTTACTAGATGAAGAGGGGTTTGAACAATGGGAAAATTCAATGTTGCAAAAAACATTGGAATCTATGTCTGATGTATGCTATTGCCCTAGGTGTGAAACAATATGCATAGAAGATGAAGAAAATCATGCGCAATGCCCAAAATGTTTCTACAGCTTCTGTACACTTTGTAGGGACAAGCGCCATGTTGGGGTTGCATGTATGTCACCGGAAATAAAACTTTCTATCTTACAGGTATATGGTACTTTTCTCTTTTATGTTTTTAGAGTATATCTTCGTTTTTAATACTACAAACCTAGTATTTCCATTGAGTTCTAGGGGTTGAGATGCACACAACCTTACTCTATAAAAAACAAAAAGGTTGTTTCTGGTAGACACTTGATGCATTGATGTGTTTGCTTCCCAAACATTCATAGATAGTAACAAGCATGAGATGTTTATGTGCCCTTTTGATTCCGTCCATTATGTGCTTGAAGCTAAAATATTGTCATAAAACAATTCTTTTAGCTCCCTTTGCAATTGATGCATCTTCGTTGAGTACTCTAGTTTAGAAATGGTGTGTGTTTGTCTGGTAACGCTTTTGTTTTCACTTATCTAAGAATATTGACAAGAAATTGTATTTGGTAGCAATGGTTTGTTTTATAGATTCTCAAAATGAAAACATGATTTTGAATATTGTTGACACTATGAATCTGTTTTTTTCATTGCATCCGAACACATGTTACTGATTTTGACAGTATTTATAAAGCGTTTAAATGAATTACGAAACCTTATATATTCAATAAAAATAATTCTCTCTCCATCCGTTTTTTTGTCTTCCGACTTTCATTTTTGGGTTGTCCCTAAATAATGTTCCCATGTGAAAGAAATCTGTGGTTCATATTGTTTCTTTCTCCTCTTTACAAATCTTAACCACTCAATTTCACTTTTCTTAACAACATGCAAAAAACTTACGGTAACATTAAAAGGGACATGACTAGCATGGATTACATGCACATTTCAAATCTTCCAAATACCATTTATAGTTTACCAAATAAACCACGTGTCCTTCCATTAACGGGGATTCAAATCAAAACTGCTCTGCCTATCTAAAGTATTTTCATTTCCTAACTATTATACCTTAAAATAAGATGACTGTTTGCAAACTGACTCTGCAGGGTGGTTGCTTTTTTCACTGAGCTAGGTTTATGATTCTTTAAATTTATCGCATCTATGATCATTGACCAACCTTTGATGCATTTACAAAGGCCTTTGTTAGCTCATTTTGAAAGAAATGTGAAACAAGTGAGGGGGCAGATATGAAACTGATTAATCATAATTTAACAGTCATTAGCAATTCACAGCAAAGCCTAATCTTAACCCACGTCCACCCAAAATCTACTGGACTAGCTTGGTTTTCTACTTCGTTTAATTCTATTATAAAATTGTGATTGGGTGCGCACCCACTCAATAGCTTGGGACAGCCCCTTTGGAGTTTTTTTGGGCCCATTTGTTCATTCCAGGGTATCTTTTTTGTTTTGTTGGAAAAGGAACGACAACATTCATCTCAACTCAAAGGAGATCAAAAGCAACGTGAGCGAGAAATGATAAATGAAATTCTTAGCTTGAGGGAAATCAACCGCTCTGCAAAGCAATGCCCTTCTTGTAAGATGGCTATATCCCGGAGTGAGGGTTGCAACAAAATGGAATGCAAAAACTGTGGGCAGTATTTCTGCTATCGTTGTAATAAAGCCATTGATGGGTATGACCATTTCAGGTTAGTAGTGATGTCGTGGTATTTTTTTTAGTTTCCAAATGCTACTTTTCCGGTTTCCCCACATATCTACTGAAAAAATCTAAAAAGCCATGAATTATTGAATTTGATTGTATAAAGTGTATTTTATAATTTTTATTTTAAATATGGGTGTAATTTCATTGGTAATTTAATTCAAATTCAGAAAATGATTATTTTCATTTTACTTTTTGGACTATGGGGTGTGGCCAACGGGTTTTGGTACCCCTATTCTTAGGTTCGAATCCTTCAGTCCCAGATCTTTTTCTCATTCAAATTTTTAGTAAAGAATGAATATGATCACTAGGTTTTTGCCAGCATATATGGTACTCCCTTCGTCCCAAATTCATCTTCCAATGTGAAAATTGCATATAGATCAAGAGCAAGATAAAAAATATATAAATGCCCTACCTAGTCTCGTAAAAATGGAGTAAAAGAAAGAAAGAAGGAACATGTGTGTGCCAAAGAAAGAAACAAGAAGGTGATTCTGAGACATTTGAAAGTGACAAGTGGGGATGGATGGTTTTGTGGACGGGGTAGTATGACCTTGTTTGGCATTATATTTGGTGTTTAGCTTAAGTGTTTCAAAAATGTTACATAACAGGATGCGTCCAAAATGCTAGCACTAATATAATCGTGAAATGATTAATAATTATACTCAAGGTTAAAATTTAAAAAAATCAGTACTAACAAGTATTTAATTTGAGTAATGCTAGAGTCACAATCTCTTTGTTCACAAACTACACAAATGTATCATTTGTACCCCTCACCAAGTTATTAACATATCTTAAATAATTAAAAAAAATAAAAATTTAATATACACAAATAGCAAGTTTGTGAACATAGAGTTTTTTACTCTAGCATTACTCATTTAATTTGGCAATAAGAAAGCAAATATTTAACTATAATTGATCACTCAATCTAAGCGTGATTGTTAGAGTAGGAGATTTGTGGGTTTAACATTTAAAAAGATGAGGTTAGTTTTTTCCATATATTCTGTAGGAGTCTCATGAACACAGCATCTCTACTTTTAATATGTTTACACTTACCCTCCCCAGCCCTCACTATGTGTAAGCTTATTTGGATTTTGTTGTTATTATCGTCTTGCACAATTCATGATTTTTTTTTAAAAAAATAATAATTTTCAAGGGTCGAGCAGTGTGAACTCTTCTCAATGGAGGCAATACAGATGTGGGAGGAGCGTATGAATGCCCGTCAAGCAGTTGGTCAAATTCGGGCTCAACAACTCAACGCTGCTCATGGTGGTCACCCTTGTCCCATTTGTCGTCAACTAAATGCCAAGGTGATATCATCTATCTTTTTACCTTTCTTGCCACATGCTGCCCCCTCCCCTTTCATTACAGAAGCTCACATCATTTGTGGCCGTTTGGTAGAATTCATTTTTTGTACTGGGCTGGGTTGAATCCATTGAAAATGAAGAAAACAAAGAAAACATATAGTGCCCGAGTCACTTTTTTGTTTGAATTTGAAACTAATACCTTTATTTTTAGATTTTATTTTACTTTTTCATTTGTGTATACAATTCACCAAATCCAACATTCTTAAAAAAAACTAAAGCAGACATGGCAACTTATAAACAACATTATATTATTATTGTCTTGACCTTCCAGACCCTACCAGAGTTGGGAATAAACTAGGTTTGTAGTTGTGGCTCATTGTAGAGAATATATGGATTAAATTACACACTTTTGTTGGCAATGCATGGCAGGTTGGAAATAACAATCACATATTCTGCTGGGCATGCCAAAATCATTATTGTTACCTTTGCAGAAAGACGGTGAAGCGAAGCTCCCACCATTTTGGCCCCAAAGGCTGCAAACAACACACCTTTGACTAGTTAAGCGTACAAACTCGTATTCATTCTTGTTATAATGTGTTCATTGTTCAATATATTGATATATTTAAGGAGTGGTATTTTTTTTACTCATGAAGTTGGAAATTTCTAGGTGGATTTGGTGTTATTTAATAATAATACTAATAATAATCATAATAATAATAATAATAATAATTTTTGAAATGATGTTTTATAAGAAACCAGATCTGTTTGTTCTTATTTTTGGTCCTTATGTGTTGTTTGCTCTATGGCTCTATACATGTTTTGTGAGCCCTTTTAAGCATTTCTCCACTAGTAACATGTGAGCAACAAAAATGGTTGGTGTCCACCTGAGTTAACATCATCAAGCTTCATTTTTACACTTTTTTATAGGCATATATTGTCTATTGGTAAATCATTTTGCCTGTGAAGTACTACAAAAATGGAGTTTGGTGTACACTATAAGCATCATCCTTTGAATAGATGGGTCTGAATTACACACCAAGACATTCCAATGGGGTTCCTACTACCAGGAATTTTAAATGAATTGGTCAAGTGTTCTATGTAAAAAAAAGAGGATGACACCCCATCTTCGAGGGTCTCTCAGTACCGGCCGGACAGTTAGCTGAGAAGAGGTAAATAAATGATTAATAGATGAGTGTATATAAGGGGGGAAATGGTGGGATGGATTTGTTTTAGTCTATTTTTTATTGAATCAGATATTGAAGTAAATGTGTTTATATCATATGCTCTGGGTTTATATTACTCCGTAATATATTACTAGACATGGATCTTCTCATATATTGCAAGTAATAAGTTAATAAAAAATAAATTAAATAAATATTTATTTCAAAATGTGAATATGTTTATATAAAACTCTCTGTCCCAATTTAACTTGTGTGTTTACTATTTATTTTATCAAACATTAATCATTTTCTTTATCTATTTTTGTTACTCATTTGATAAAATAATATTGTCATATCATATATCGTAAAAAACAACAGACATCTTAAAATGGGACGAAGGGAATACTTTTAAGAAAGTTCATGAATCATTAAGTGGATTTGAGGTCGACAAAAGAATATACTCCTTCTGTCTCAAATTAAATTATTTATCCACTATTTACAAGGTTAAATTTTCACTTTTTTTCTATTTTGTTAATTATTTGATAAAATAATATAATCATATCACAATTATTTTTGTAGTTTTAGTGTAGTTTTTAAATATGTAATTTTTATTTTTAAATTCTACTCATATAAAATGATTTTAGAAAATAGATTCGATAAAATATTGTAAACTGAAGCAAGCAATTTAAATTGGGATAGAGAGAGGTTAACTTGAATTAAAAATATTTTTTTGTTTTCTATATTTGGAAAATAGAAAATGAGGGAGCGTTTTCCCTTTTATTTTTCTATAAAAAATAAAAATTGTTCCAGGTAGTTCTCGAGTATTTGTCATTCATTTAGGAGTATAAAATTTCACAAGCGATCTGNCCCCCCCCCCCCCCCCCCCCCTTTACTTCACTCATTCACGAATCACATGGTCAAGTGGTCAACTTTATAAAACTTTTTCATAACTTGTTATATAAAACTTTTTATACTACTTTTAAATATATATAAAAAAAACTTTTATCTATGAAGTAAAATTGGTCAAGTAAAAAGAAATGGGTGTACATATAGGAATGCGAAAAAATGCCGGGCAACCGATGTCTGTTATATAAAATGAAGCATATTAGAATTTGTTTAGCATTTGCAAAGTAGTTTGAGCGTTTTGAAAATGTTCTCCCGCCACGTCTTTTAGTCACTCAAACACTTTTCTACTCTGTATGTTTCTTACTCCCCAATGAAGTTTTGAAAGATAAATATGGCAATACAATTTCTCAAATATTACAAGACACCGCAAGATCATGCGTGGAAACACTTGAAGATTTTATTAGACTCGAATATTCATTGTGACAATGAATATATACATAGAAAACAAACGCACATCTGGTTATTTGTTGTTGAAATGAATAAACCAATTGCGTGGAAACAGACACACCTTAGAACATCCAAAGTTCCAAGCTCATCATGTACAACTGAACAGCCAATCTGCACAAAGAAAACAAAGGCAAGTGTTTCCCAGATCACTACTGCCGCAAAAAGCCAAACAAGCCATCACAATATGACTTTCGTTGTTTTGAGAAAGTTCTTCTTTGATAATCGCAAGTCTCAAGCACCCAACGTGCTTATACTACAAGAATTATGACCACAATGACGAGGACAACCCCAAAAATCACCAGGAGTAGACACATCTGGAATGAATGAAAAAAGAGAAAAAATTGTGATAATAGAGCCATTACTTGTGCAACCAAAGGTGGAAATTTTTCGATATGTAATGTAAGAAATGATAACGCTATTTTTCGATATGTAATGTAAGAGTAATGTTTAGTTATGATAACGCTATTTTAAGATTTAAACATTACCTCACCACAACTTTGTGGAGGATTGGCATCCTTAGTATAAGAGTTTAACCATAATTTTACCCCTTGAATGTCCATCAGGCAGTCAAAACAGATCAAGGAGTATCTTTATCTACAAATAAAACGCTGCAATGGCTGATTTTCTAAACTTCCTGGGTATTGGATTGTGCTCTTCGGAGTATTGTTTATTGAGTTTTTATTGTATTTGGTCGTATTGTTGTTCACTGGACCCTTTTATGTTTAAGTGCAATAGTTTATCTCTAATAAATAAAACGAAACCTACCAGAGAAGAATTTGATCGCTGTGACTTTGCAGCTTTAGCTAATTGTGATCTTCCCTCTGCAGTTGCAGCTTGAGAGTTCTCAATGTTCGAATCAATATCAACTGAAAAGTGTAAATTATACTGACCTCAGTAAAACACAACAAATTCAAATGGTGAGAAAAATGGAAGACAATTTACCGATAATGGCTCCTTGCTCGTGAACTAGCACAGCAAGATCCTTGAAAATTTCATTTACTTCGCCAATCTGTTGCTGAATCTCTTGTATTCCTTGATCTCTTTCATCTATGATAGCCTCATTAAAGGCAATCTCATTGTCAAGAAGCACTACCTCTTGCCTGAAGCAAAGGCACATTTTATCATTGATGCTCTTACGTTAGTTCAGTCTAATAAATTAAAAATGTTCAAAACAAATTATACGCAGTACTATGTCACTATTTTGTGTCTTTTTTCATCTTAAGAATTTATTAGTATTCCAAGCAATCATCTCATGTTTTATCACCCATTATTAGTCTTTTCATCTGTCTATAACATAAATATGACAAACATGCACGTACAGATTGAATTTCTAATACCCGCGCTATGGGGTAGAACTCAATGATGTGGCACCATGGTTAAAAGCATTGTTAAATACTTTTCCATTTTAAGGTCCTCCATACAGGTCATTAAAACCCAAAATCTGTCAGCTCATGGAGTACGACTTCAGAGAGGATCATCAGCACTTTCCAACAATTACTTCTAATTTCAATATATCTTTAAACTCAAGTGCATAGCTTCATTACCATTTACTTGTTATGAAATATTATAATTTGGTCAAATGGTTGAGCAGTTTTCCAACTTTTCCAAATAAGCAGTCGGCACTCAACACCCGATCATGTTGATGAATTCAATAATTCATTTATTACTTGAAGCCCAACATCTCCTACTTTTTCCGCACAGCATCTTAAAGAATGAAAAGTTTTAAAAAGTAGTTTTAAGCCTTGAGGCATTTGTCAAAATTAGAACCAAACTTTTAAAAAGACGGTTTTAAATGCATCTTTCTTACCCACAAGTGGAACACTAACACAGATTATAACACCTAATATCATCTTTTTTAAAAAAAATTTAGCACCTACCAGATGTACAGCTATTATTCATAAATTCATTTTAACACCTTATATTGCATCAGTACCGAGTGTACAGTATCGGTTGTAAGAATCACTAGAGTGATAGTGAGTACATGAATTTTAATTCGGGAACTCACTTCCTAGATTGAGCAAGTAGAACTTGCTGCTCCGGAATCCTACCAGAGCCACTATCTGTTTCACCAGAAGTGTAACTGTTCAAAACAAGATAATCAAAGTGTCAGTCTCACAGATAGATACAACGAAGAAAGCGCTCAAAAAAGGTACTCCGTATACAAACTATTCCTTATTCGATTGGAGAAAGGCATTGAAGTTCACCTTCCCCTTAAAGATCCATATGTACTAAAAGCATTACCTTGAAGAAACGATAGCTTGGGGAACGTAAGGTTTAAATGTGGTTTCCTTCTCAGCAGCAAGCCTCTGAGCCTTTTGAAAAGCATTCAATATTTCTTGAAAATCTCTAGCAAGTTTTGCATCTGCTATTTTCTTGCTAGTCTGAAAGCATGAAAGATATATAAATAATAATGGACCCCAACCTAGGAAGATAACGGCACAAGTAATCGAAGACCTTAAAAAAATACTTGTGACTTGTGAGTTTGTTTGGTAGGGATCTAAATGATCATATTGAAGGGTCTGTTTGGGAATAACGTTAGAGATTAGCGTTTTGAAAAGGCTGTCGACGGACAGCTTTAGCGTTTTTAAAGTAATCTACAGCGTTATCGTTTTCAAAGTAATTTTAACGGTGTAGATTACTTTGAAAACGTTAACGCTGTCCGTCGATAGCCTTTTCAAAACGCTAATCGCTAACGCTATTCCCAAACAGGCCAGAACTTTCATATGCATAAGTGGCAACTTCCACAATTAAATTTTCATATTGAATCATTGAGGATCAATATCTATTGGCTATTAAGAACAAGAACAATGAGAGAGAGAGAGAGAGTTCCTACACTGACGTCGGGACGATGATCTGTTTCACTTGCTTGCTTTAACTTTGCAGATGTATCTTTCACCAACTGACCAATCTCCACCCTTGTCCTGTGCCTGAACTTGTGCAAGAAATCCACCATAGCCTAAGGCTTTTCAGGACATTGATCGTCAACAGATGATGATCATATACACTCAACAGAAAACAGCTAAATTTCCAACCAAAACATTGTCACGATGATTACTAAGTACTAATTACGCTATAGCAGAGAAAAAATCCACTGTAAATACGACAGATTGCAAGGTACAAGACGAGGACGAACTTTATTACTCCCTCCGTCCCGGAGTATTCGTC